GCCCGCAAACCTCTGCCAGGTACCCAACCCTCCTCGCCCCGTCCCCGCAGCTCCTGCAAATGACCGAGGGTGACACTCTGGAGGTGCAGTTGGAAGCATTCAGAGAGGAATGCACAACCGCTAGGTCTGAAATCAGAGATGTTAAAAGAGCAGCTCCGCCGCCTTGGCTGGGCTGGGCGGGGAAAGCGGGAGCAGACGCAGGAAGATGCTAACCCATTTTCCCTTTAGAGGGCAGTGGTGTTCATCCTACAAAACCTGCATTTCCGAGGAGGTAAAACCCTTGTCGGTAACAACTGGGGTCAGCAGCACTGGAGCAGCAGCAAGAGGCACCAGCACTGGAGTGGTGCTGCTGGCGGTACTGGGCTGTGCAGAAGAGCATCTCACTTGCATGTACTTTCTGCAGTGTTCCGTGCAGGGGTTCATTGATTTCCCCTTGTTTTCCTTCACAGTAATCAGATGAGTAATTATGGTTTCACAGAGAGGCTTCTTTTCTCCTGCCCCACTGCGAGCACAGCCGAGTGCAGTGCTCCCTCCTTACCATCCGTGTTGGCCAAACGGCAGCCTCTTTCCAAGCCAGATGAGCCCTTCCCGCTAGATCCATGCCAAACCACTTTGGAGAGACAAGTCAGGGAGGATTCCAAAGGCAGCACTCACCTTTTCATGGGTTTGGGCGAGGCCTCCCGCTCCAGGTTAGAGGATGCGTGCTTCACGTGCATGGCGTTGTAGGAGGTGTGGGTGTACTCATTCTCGTCGCTGTAGTCGGGTCCAAGTAATGTTCGAGCCCATGTCCCCATGTCATACGGTGGAAGAGTCCCCCCGAATTCAGAGGGCAGGCATTCAGGGTGTATTAGCTGGTGAAGGCTGTTCAGGTTGTTACCATGAAGAAAGATCTTTAAGAAAAAAAAAAAAGGAAGTTCAAAGTCATTGCTGGTTCCTTGCTTCATTAATTCCAACAATAACAACACTAATGAGGTGTGGAGCGTCATTCGTTGGTGCTGCAGTTTCAGGTGGGAATTTCTGAAGCGCTCAGTGCTGGTGCAGCGGGTGGGAGGAAGGGGATTAGCTTTGGGGTGTCCAGCTGAAGAATTAAGCTGGCACTGTAAACACATCTGAAAATCCTGATTTGCTTCCTTTTGGCACATGACACTTTCACTTTGTTAAGTACCAGACAGGGAAAGTGCGAGTCAGGAATAATAACTGATTACTGCTGCTGTAAGGGGATAGAGGCTTGTATGAAGAGTGGTGAGAAGAAAAGGGAGATAGTGGAGCCTACTGAAAGAAAATGTCAAGGTCCTCAGCATCCGAGAGGGCGACCCAGCCCTGCACCCTGGGACAGATATTTCCCAGGGGTGTAGGTCGGTGTCCCCACTTTGCACTGCTTCAGCAACATTTGCATCTCTAACCCTCCTTTACTTTGAGACTGGTTCTACCCTTGTCCTGCCTGGTCAAACAAACGCCGGGGTGGGCTCTGGGACCTTCCAAGAGATGATCCAGTGGCTGGTTGATAGACTGCAGAGGACAAATGACCCAGGTGACTGCAGGACCACCGTTCACGTGGGTTTTCTTTGGGAAGCACTACTGCTTCTGCAGTGTGAGCAAACTGCCTTCAGGCATGGGCATTTTTAGGGGGAAACAAGTGAGTTACCACCATGAGAAAACAGTCGACTTGCTAGAGGAACAAAATAGGAAATCTTACTCCCGCAGAAAGAGTTGAGCTGAAGTTTCCCTCACTGCAGGTGACTCCAGCCAGGCCTGAGGACCCCTGCACATTGCCAATTCTCTCTGTCCCTGAGCATGTCACATGGAAAAATATCTACGCTCTGGTAGTGAGAACAGCTTTCTGGTCCCTGTCTGAGTTATTGCTTCGATCCAGACTACTGTAAACTCTAAGTTTTAGTAATTTCTGGGAGGCCATATACAAAATGCAGAGAGAAAAAGAAGAAAAGGCGGCAGGAAGCTATGCAGGTACTCTGGCCCTGCAGCTTCCTCGCTCCCCCCCCGCAT